GCTTCCCGCGCCGGCGTCTCGGCGCAGCTCGCGCCCGGCCACGCTCCGGGCTGGGGCATGGTGCCCCGACTCATGCGGGCGTCTGCCCGCAGCAGAGGCTCCGCCGGCCGGCGGCTTCCGCGGTCCACAGGACACTTCCGCGCGCGTCAGCACGGCCCGCCCCTTGGCCTTTGACCCGCAGCGAGGGGCGTAGCTCGCGGCCCCTGAGCCGACGCCTGCGCAGACTAAGCCACCGAAGCCAGTGGCAGTCCGGGCGCGTCGCGCAACCACTGCGCCTGCTCCGTTCCCCGGCGCAGCACTCGCCCCACCCTCTGGTGTCCAAGCAAGCGGGGGTTGAGAGCTGGGGAGGACCGCGGGAGCTCGCGGACGCCGGCCTTGGGAGTGCAGAGCGCCGACGTTTTCTGGCATCTTAAGCATCCCTCTCGCCTCCCGAGTGATGCTGCGGGTCGCCGCGGTGCTCCACCAGTGACCGTGCAGTCCAGGTCCCCCCGCCGTGGGCTGGGCCGCAGCTGTGAGGTCGGGCTGGGCCCTCGGGGCGAAAAGGACCGACTGGTTCCGCTGACTGGTTCCGCTGGACACGTTGAGCAAGCGCCGGCAGCAGCGTGGGTTCTTGGATCGCATTCCTTCATGTGGAAATTTTCGTTTAAGTGTGATCAGAGCAAAGGGCAGATAGCAAGACCTCGAAGATCCGAAGGTGAAATGTTTCATCCCACGGCAAGGGCTGGAGAGCAGCCTCTACGGATGACCACAGCACAAGGGCTTACTGTCGCCGAGACCGGACCAGGGCGCGGAGGAACAGGAGGCTGCTGGAGATCCCATCGTGCAAAGCCTTGTTAGGTTAACTCAGAAGCTTGAGCTTGATCTGAGCGATCTTGAGGAGTGTTCCCCTTACACACACACACACACACACACCGTACTGGGGATCGAACCCAGGGGTGCTCTACCAATGAGCTACATGAGCTTTATCCCCTGGCTTTTCTTTTTCTTCTCAGTTTTGAGACAGTTTTTGCTAAGTTGCCCAGGTGGGACTCGAGCTTGGAGTCTTCCAACCTCTGCCCCCGCCCCCGTGATTACAGGATTACATGCACCATCACCCCCGGAGGAGATCATTTGGAAAGACCGCTTTATCCATCCGCAATTAAAGATTGGAGAAAGGCAATACTGGGAGACCAGTTTAGGGAGATGTGGACGCCACAGGTTGAAACTGTGGGGAGAATATTTACATTTTGAGGCTCAGGACTCTGGGGTTCTGTCTTTCCTTTAATTTTACTTGAAAAGTGATATAAATACACATGCCAAAATACTCAGAGCATTCAGAAGAATGTGCTAAGTCTATTTCTTATGACTGTAGCATTGCATTGGATTGAACAGTGCCCCCCATTCGTGTCCATCAGGAGCCTCACAGCGTGACCTTATGTGGAAGTAGAGCCTTTGCAGATGTAATTACTTAAGATGAGATCATAATGAGTTTTAAAGGGCCCCAAGTCTAAAAACTGGTGTCCTGTATGACAACGGGTGAAACGATAAGGCCACTCAGAGAAGGAGAGGTTGCACTGATGCAGCTCTAAGTAAGGAAAAACCAAAAAAAAGGAAAAACCAAAAAAAAAAGGAAAAACCAAAAAAAAGTTCTTTGGATTATCCCAAAGAACTTTCAGAATGATCTCATGTTAGTCTCCTCCAGAACTCAGCTTAAAATCCTGTCACAACCCCACGAAAGTAAAATAGGACTTAAGGTGAGAGGATGATAAAATTCTATCTGGCCAAGTTTGTTTAGGTGGCCAACCAAACAGAGTCTGGATTCAGCCTTTTATTTCAGGATTAGAAAAGGCTTTAACAGTATATGTGAGTGTGTCTTTTCATATTATCTACATCACAGTGGGAAAATAACCATGGGATGGGATTGGGGACCCACTGAGCCCGCTGTGAGAAGGATCTGAGTGAAAATTCCTTGCTCAGTTGACCTGCATTCACCTGGATAATAGCACATCCCTTTTCCACTTACTTACCTGGCACGTACTGGACACAGATGACTCCAGGAGAATGCCACTGGAGTGCCCACGCTAAATAAAGTAGAAACCAGAACTGGCTAGGTGTACTGTGGAGGAAAGTGTCCAAAGGTCTAGGGAAGTTGGGATGTTAGTGTAGACTTACGTAGGGCCGACCTGTGCAACCTGAGAAGAGCCCAGAGGCCAGAGCTTTCACCATGTCTGCAAGGGAAACCCCAACATTCCTGAAGTGATACATATCTTACAGTGACATCACACTGGGCTTCGTAAATGCAGTGAGGGTAATAGGATTCCAGAAATTGGAAGAAACCAAAGACACTTAATTGACAAAACCCAAGCGGCATGGTTACTGCAATGGCAGCAGAGCCAAAGCAGTATTGTTGTACAGAGACCTCTGGTCTTGGCTGATACAGTATCATGTTCCCAGATTCTTACTTGTGATGTCACATTCTTGGAGGAATTGTAAAAGTTGGTGCCACTGTCAAAGACTTGCAAGTTGCAGAGTTGATAATAGCACATCCCCTTCAATTTACTTACCTGGCATGTACTAGACACAGATGGCTCCAGGCAAATGACACTGGAGTCTCAGATTTAGTCATATGGTGACTCCAGTTTCACTGCTGTTTTTGAAAAGATGTTTCGTTGTTTGAAAAGTCAATACAGCTGATACAAGGCACTCAGCTATCTCTCTCTATTGAAGGCATTTACATTCATTAGCAAGACTTGCAACATACCTTCTCCCTGCCCTACCACAGATAAATCAGCTCAACTCTGTGTCATAATGAGTCCATAGTAGCCTCAGTTGCTTTCCCCTTCTGAAGAAGCTCCTGTTGAAGATACACTGATTAGTCCTGGTGGGCAGGGAATAGCAAGCACTGTGGACTCACTGGTAATATATTTGCATGGCAGAGTGTAGGCAATAAATCCCCCAAACCTCCAGGAGCCTTCTCTCTCAGTGAAATTTCTAGGTCCCACATGGGACATACCACCATATCACTTCTAAGGTGAAGACAAAATTAGTTCATCTGGGCCCTCCTACAACAATAACAAAAAAAAGAGGCTCAGCGCCTATGACAGGTCTAGACTGGTATGGAAGTCACTGGGTCATGTGATCCCGCATATGCACTGGTTATGGAAATGATGGTGACAGATTCAGACGCTGTGTAGTCTTTGGCAGGCATCAGTAGAAGAATCGCAATACAAACCCTTCAGACTGGAGGAAAGCCCTGTTGTCCTCTGTGGAAAACTCTGCTTTTGGTTTGCAATTGGACCTTGGTGGAGACTGAATCCTTCACCGTGGGAACCAGGTTACTGTGTGGCCTGATCACGTGATAAAGCATGCTGCTAGTATGGTTTTCCTTCCCACAGCCCATAACCCCAGAATAATTATGAGAAAACAAACTGTCAGATGATTCCTTAGAGGAGCATCCTACAGAACACCTGACCAAACCCTTCAAAATCAAGTTTGAGAAATTGCCACAGCCAAGAGGTAAAGGAAACACGACAACTATGTTGGTATCCTGAGAAGTACACTGGGTCAGAAAAAGACATTAGGTTAAGCAAAGAAAATCTCAATAAACCGTGGACTTTACTTATAATATGTGTGAATCTATTTCATTCATTGTAATGTGTGCCACAGTAATGTAAGATATGAGTAACAGAGGAGAAGGAATCCAAGACAGATGGGAACTCTACTATCTTCTCATTTTTTAAAGTCACAGCTTCTGGAAAAAATAAAATTAGGAAAATCAAACTCAGATCACTATGTCATAGTTAACTCATGACTTTCCAAAATAACAAACCATATCCAGGGGCTGGGGATTTAGCTCAGCAGCACAGCACCTGCCTGGCAAGCACAAGGTCATGAGTTCAATTCCCATTACCGGAAAAAAACAAAAACCAAAATAGTTCAAACCATATCTAGTCCTTTTTTTTTTTTTTTTTTTTGAGACAAGGACTCACTATGCAATTCAGGCTGGCCTTGAACTTCACTATGTAGCCCAGGCTGGCCTCAAACTCATGGCAAATCTCTTGCCTCGGCCTCTCATGTACTGGGATTACAGGCGTGTACCACTACGCTCGGCTCCATGTTCTTATTTTGTACTTCAGTTAAATGTTAATTATTTCATCTTTGTTTCATCTTTTAAAATTTCTATGTATGTTTTCCACTATATATAATACCTAAATGTTTGCTTTTTATATATGCATTTTTAACATGCTTACTAGGGATATGCTAAATTTTACTAAGATTATAGAACTAAATTATTAGCTGTTCAGGTGGATTATAATTAAAACTAAATTAAAATAATTAAAAACTTTTTAAAGTTTTTAAACAGGAAATAATTAAAAACTAAATTATGACTCAGGAAGCTGAGGCAGGAGAATCACAAGTTCAAGGCCAGCCCAGACAATTTAGCAAGAGCTATCTCAACACTAAAAAAAAAAAAAAAAAAAGAAAATTTAGGGGGCACTAGAGCTGTAGCTCAGTGGTAGAGCACTCCTGGATTTAATCCATACTAACGCAAAAACAAACAAAAACCCACACACTAAATTATAATAACTAACCCATTCATATGTTAAGATAAGTAAATATTAAAAAGTTGTGAGCTTAAGTAGAAGCATAGATAATAGTACTACTAGAGACAATTCCAGTTAGTTTCTAATTTTCTCATATCAACCATTAGGAACCTAGAAGTAATATGATAGCATTGTAATTGGTAAATACTTGGTTTAGAATCATGAATTAATATGTATATCTACTTCAGGGACCTGCTTGAGTAGTGAAGGTATGAAAGACTCCACTTCCTTTTCACTGGACATTCCAGCCCTTAGTAGTGACAACTATTTGTTGTTCTCATTTATTCCTTTTAAAGAACTTAGTAGAAGTTGGACACGTAGCCCCTTTTGCTAATATCATAAACTCATTTTATCACAAGGTCAATGCTTTATATTTTTGCTGTTTGGAATTTCCCAATCTACAGCAATAAAAAAAAATAGATTTCAAGTGTATCCTGTACATCAATTTCTAAAGTATTCACAGGAAAGGTACTTTTTAGTTGACTCTAGTTTCATAGGTTCACTTACTGTGCTCAACCTTGAAAGGAAATATTGTTAGTTTCACTTAGAAATTAGCTACTCCTGAATACCCA